CGTCTTCTCAATCTTTCAACAATACTTTCTCTGCCTGGGGTCCTGCGGCTGCCGTCTCAGGAACTGGAGAGGCAGCTCAACATGTTCGCTGTTGACCATCTTCCCCAGCCAGGTGAGCTCAGGAGACAGCTCATACTAGATTGTGATGCCCATTAGCAAGGTTCCAAATTCTGTTTGGAAATGTCGCCAAGGAATTGAGGTCATGCCTTCGGGTTCCGCAACCACAGGCCCCTGTGATAAGAAAAACCTGTGGCCCGTTTTTTCTTCATACTAATAAATCAGTGGCTACTTATTTTCATCTATCTAAACATTTATCTGTGTATCTTTTAACCTAATGTATCATCTAACTGCTGAGTTTTTTACTTTTGCGATATTTGGTCTCGAACCTTGGCTCTTCATATTGAGCTATATCCTTCTATATTTTTTTCAGATACCCACTGAGTCATGGTGATTGTAGTGATTCATAATATTTTTGGGAAAATTGATGAATAAGAATATGTTATTTTCCCGTAATGAAATAAATGTGAAGTAATGAGGTGTGTGTGTGTGTGTGTGTGTGTGGGTATGTATGTGTGTATATGTGTGTGTGTGTAGTTAAGTGAATTTAACCAATCCACAATGTATACATGTTCTACAATATGTTGTACATGCTAATCATATATAATTTTTATTTTTCTAATATATAAATAAAAGAATTGACAGTAATCTGAGCATGGTTAAGTTTCACTAAGTCATTAAATTTGACAGATTATAGTCTACCTTGTGATCTTTTTGCCTCAGCCACTTGAAATGGTAGAATTACACTTAAGCACCTTCTTGCCCAATGAAGTGTTTGATTTATTAATAGCAAAATGTTTCCAAAGTGCATGTGTTGAGGCATCTCTTCCATACAAAGGAGCCATTCTCTCTGAGCTGTGAAAGTTTAAGATACTCTTCTTTCTAGATTGATTACTTTTAGTTAATAGAGAGTACTTTAACATTTGGGAAATTTCCAAAATAATTTTTCATAAAACGATAGAATGTTGCTTTGAAATTGTAACCTTTTAGGTGTTGATGGTGGTGATGGTGGATCTCTAACAGGTTGCAGCTTTGAGTTTCACACGAATTATTATTCATTCTTAGATACTGAACTTAATAGCAAATTGCAGTACTCAGTATTGGGATGTAAAGGGAGGAAGGGACAGTATGCGATGAATGCAAAATAGGTAGTCTTTGTAGGCTCTAGATACCATCACCCCAGTGTTGATGATGAACACACACAATTCTGTATTTTGAATCTTTCCTTGAGGCCACTTGTAAACATTTCCTCTCCTCCCCTCCTAAGAAGAGCATGTATGTTGAGTCCCAGCCCAAGAGTTTGCACTTTCTACCTGCAGAAGAGCTGTAACTATTCAGCACATATTTGTTGTTTTGTTTTTTGCAGTGTTTGTTCCATCAGTATAATCCTGCTAGCTTTCATGTGTGCTCTGTTACCTATCTATGTTATTATGTTCCATAGTGTTTAATATTTTGGTTTTAATGTTTAAATCTTTGATCCATTTTAATTTCATTTGAGTACATGGTGAGCATTAAGAGTCTAGTTTCTTTCTTCTACAACCAGATAACCACTTTTCTTAACACTGTTTGTTGAATAGATTCTTTTACCTCTAATGTGTGTTTTTGGACCCTTTGTTGAAGATCAAATAGTTGAGTAAGTCTGATGAGGTTTCTGTATCCTCTATTCTGTTCCATTGATCCAAATGTATGTTTTTGTTCTAGTGCCTTTCCATTTTTATCACTGTTGCTATGTAGTATAGCTTGAAGTGTAGAATTGCTATGCTGCCTGCTTTTGCTCTTATTGCCCAAAATTGCTTTTGTTATTTGGCATATCTTCTGGTTCCATACGAATTTATAATTATTTTATCTGTATCTGTAAAGTATGGTGTTGATATTTTGTCTGGGACTGCACTGAATCTGTATAAAAGTTTGGAAAAATGGGCATTTTGATAATATTGGTTCTGCTTCTCCAGGAACAAGGGATATCTTTCCGTTTTCCAGTGTCCTCTTCAATCTCCTTCAGGGTACTGTAGTTTTCTTTGTAGAGTTCTTTCACTTCTTTTCTATGTTTTCACTTCTTTTGTTGTGTTAGTTCCTAGATAGTTCATTTTTCTTATAGTAATTGTGAATGGTATTTTTAAAGAGAATTTCCTTCTCATTTTGCTCATTATTGGTATACATAAATGATAATGATTTTTTGTTGATCTTATGTCTTACTGTTTTGCTGAAATTAGTTATTCTAAGAATTTTTTGATGGAGTTTTTATGGGTCTTCTATGTGGACTATCGTGCCATCTACAAATAGTGATAATTTGAGTTCTTCCTTTCCTTTATTTGTCTCTTTAGTTTCTTTCTCTTGCCTAGTTGCTCTGGCTAAAGTTTCAAGTATTGTGTTGAATAGCAGAGATGATAGTAGACATCCTTGTTTTGTTTCTGATTTTAGAGGAATGCTTTTAGATTTTCCCTGTTTAGCATGGTGCTGGCTATTGGTTTATCATAAATAGCCTTTATCATATTCAGGTATGATCCTTGTGTGAATGTTTACTTCAGGATTTTTATCATGCAGGGGTATTGGATTTTTTTGAAAGATTTTTCTATATATATTAATATGACCATGTGGTTTTTGACCTTGCTTTTGTTGATGTGATGTGGTACATTTATACACTTGTATTTTGAACCATCCTTGCATCTCTGGGATGAAACCTACTTGATCACGATGTATCATCTTTTTTATTATGTTTTGGATTCTATTTGCTAATACCTTGTTGAAGATTTTTTACCTCTGTATTCATTAGAGATTGGCCTCTAATTTTCTTTTTTATTTCAGCCTAGATCTGGTTTTGGGATCAGGGTGATACTGGCTTCCATAATTTCTTTCAGGAGCTTGAGTATTGGTGATATAATATCTTTAAAGTTTTTTAGGATTCAGCAGTGAGTCATCATGTCCTAGGATTCTTTTAGTTGTTGATTATTATTGAGTCATTTCATTACTTGTTATTAGATTGATAGGCATATTTATATCTCTTTGAATTAGTTTTGATAGTTTGTATATGTCTAGGAATCATTTCTGGAAGTTACTGTTAATGACTGTACAACTCAATGAAATCTCAGGGACACTATGAAAGCAGTCCTAAGAGCCAAAATTCATCTCAGTCAAAGCTCACATTAGGAAATCAGCATGTCCAAATAAATAGTTTTATCAGAAATCTTAAGATACTTGCGAAACAACAGCAAATCAGCCCCATACCAAAATCAAGGAAAGAAATTACAAAGATGAGAGTGGAAGTCAATGTAATTGAGACTAAAAACTTCAAAAAAAAAATCAGTGCAGTGAAGAGTTTGTTTTTAAAGAGTAAGTGAAATAGACAAGTCCTTTGTAAGATTCAACAAAGGAAAAATAAAAAATTCATATCCGTGCTATTAGAAATGAGAAAGGTAAAATTACAACATATACTGTGGAAATCCAGAAGATAGCGTATTCCAACAATATAGCAAATTTTGGAGAAGACTATCAGCAAAGAGAGAGCAGTTCCCACAGTTATCAGGAGGAATTAGGTACCTTTCTATTCTGTGAACATGTATGACACCATATTAAATTAGAAAGCAATTTGTACTCTAAATATTTAAGCCTCAGTGATCTTCAAATTAACTAAAAACATTTTTATTATTCAATATAATACCCTAACACAGTATGAATGAGTCCAACATATAAAATGCTAAAAGAAAGACACTATTTTTGTGATGAATTGATTTCCTGGAAGGTTTCTTATATTGGCAAAGAATGCTATAATCATTCTTAATTTTTCTTGAATATTTTTTAGTGAATGATATGAAGAAAGAGGAATAAAAAGGATCTGATTTATTCACATGATCACTATTACAGAATTTATTCAAAGGAAAACATTTTTAAATACAAGCTTGGGCCAGATATTTAGCTCATCGGTTCTGCCACCTGCCTTGCAAGTGTAAGGTCCTGAGTTTGATCCACAGTATACACACATACACACACACACACACACACACACACACACACACACACGGGCTTGAAGGAGAGGAAAAGAGAAAAGCATGCAGAAAAATTAACTACATCTCTGAAAACATAAATAGGTTGATTTTTAATATTTTTATAAATCTGGACTGATGATATCATGTTAGTTAAGGTAATGATCTTTTGTTTTGGGTGTTGATTATTGAAATCAGTGCTTGTACATGTTAGGCAAGTCTTCTGCCATTGATCTGCACCCAGAGACTTGGGGTCGTGCATTTATTGTGAAATTTTTATTTTTTAATAAACATTTGTTACTTCTTTCTCCTAAAATATTTTAGCATAAATGTGTATAAACTTCTTATTAGATAATTTTGGTGTGAATACAAAAATAGTGTAATTTTAAAGATAAAATGGTTACAATCCTACTCAGTAAACTCTACCATAAGAAAATCCAGAATTGTTCAGATTTAAGGACTGAGTCCAGTGTTAGGACTGTGCATTAGGAAGGATGCACATTATACCCAAAGACATGTAATCTTCCCAGTGATGAGAATGACAGGAGTGTTCCAATTATCTGTTACCTATGGTGAGTTCATAGGTAGAATGAACAAGTTAAAATCAGGCTGAAGCTCAGTAAATATTACTGTATTACTATTTACTGAATTACTGAATTAATGAGTAGCTGTGTGGGATGGATAACTTTGAATCAAATGTAGAAAAGTCTGAAATTAAGTCCAATCACTGGTAGCTGGGCCCAAAGCCAGACTTTCATCATTCCAAGACCAGGCCCTCATTCATCAGCTAGTTGACCACAAAGATGTCCTTAAGTGACTCAATTAACTACTAACAGGTTGGAAAGCATTTAGAAGAAAATGATACTTCTGAGTGCCTACTATCTTCCTGTCATGGTACTTTAAATATTTTCTTTTATGTCATAGTATTCCATGAAGTAATGTATTTTTCTTCTTCTTACGTAGAAATGAGTTCAATGCAGGCAAAGTACTGGAGAAGTTGAATTTTGAAGCACATGATAGAAGAACATAAGAGAAAGTGCATTCTGGGTAGCAAAAGGAAGGAATTTTTTAAGGTAAAATGGTTTTATAGAGTTATTGAATTGTGCCTCTGAAAACAACCTCTGCTGTTGATTTGTTTTGAAAAGAAATGTCAAGAAAACATTTCCTTTCATGCTTAGATTCAGTTTTCCATCTTACTGTGTATATAAATTCTGAAGGTCTTATTTAGTTTTTGTTGCTTTACTCTTGAAACTCGAATACTAGTTTTTAGCAGAAAATTTTATTCAACAGCTTTTGAAGTCAACATTTGCCATGGCATCCTTCATTGAACTTGGGTGAATAAAGTTCAGAAAAGACATAAATGTTTCCCTTCTGCTCCAGGGGATCTGTCTGTCTTAAGGGAATGGCAAACATGGACATGCTTATTTTGTGTTTTTTTCCAGAGAGTGCAAGGTTTCTTTGAATTCTGCAAGTAAAATATCCAGACACAAACATTGGCTAAGGAAAATAAATCACCATGAGGAGTACCTACTTAAAATCTGACAAGCACATTCCACAACTCAACTAATAAAGATGCTATGAGTAAAATGTTGGCCAGAATACAGCATCATTGTGGTGACAGAGTGTTAGGGGAGTAAAGACGGAAAAGCAAACAAACACTGAGTAAGAATGTCTAAGCAAATATGGTTTTGGCAACAGAATCAAGACAGCATCAAACAACCCTCATTACAGATTATTTGTAGAAGCTTTTCCCAGAATAGCCAACAGAGTAGCAACTAAGATAATTGCAAGTCATTGTTTAAGCACAGGGCGTACCATACCGTAGAGATGGTTATAGCTGTGTCAACACTGCTGAAATAACAGATCAATTCAATCAATTCAACAAAATAGCTGGTCAACTCATTTAAATAAATACAGTAAGAATCAACTGCTTGACCAAATTAACTAGAAAATTGTCCTAGAATGCTCACGCCTGTTATGTGTGTACACAGTGAGCACAGTGTCCATTTGACAAATTCATAGATGCATTTCTGCTAGGGTAACTAGAGCCTTAAGTTCAAGTCATTTTGGAGTTATCTCTAGACCACATTGCAATAACTTCTTAGAGTCTCTACTCTGAAAGACTTGGTTTGTGACTCACTGCCCTCTACCTGAGCTCCTTCCAACCTGTCTCCTCCCTACCTTTACCCTTTGTATTCCTACTTTTAACACTAGCCAGAGTTATCTTACCAAACACAAACCATATTGTAAATAAACATACCATTGTATAAATGAATCTTTTGCTTTCTCTTGTAAGTTGGCAAAAATCAAGCTTCTTCCCATGGTACATTGAACAGTTAAATCTGACCATGTCTCCTGCCACCCTTTCTCTAAACCTCTATAATTACCTTTTTTTTTCTATAAACATACCATTGTATAAATGAATCTTTTGCTTTCTCTTGTAAGTTGGCAAAAATCAAGCTTCTTCCCATGGTACATTGAACAGTTAAATCTGACCATGTCTCCTGCCACCCTTTCTCTAAACCTCTATAATTACTTTTTTTTTTTCACAATCACTGACCCATTGATGCTGACATCCTAGTCCTTGGAAATTTTGAATGTGTTATCTTATGTGGCAAAGGGAGATTTGATGGTGTGTTGGGTCAAAGATTTTGAGGTAGAAAGAGGAATTTGTTTATTCAGGTAGACCCAGTGTTATCATATGGGTCCTTTTAAAAAGAAAGAAAGGGGTATATTCAATAAAAGGGAATATGAGACTAAAAGCAGAAGTTAGAGCAATGAGCTTTGTACATAAAAAGATGGGAATGAGCAAAGGAATGCAGGTAGCTTGTAGAAACTGCAAAAGCAAAGAAATTGATTTTTCTCTAGAGCATTTAGGATGATCCATCCTGACAACACTTTGAACTGGTCCATTGAAACAAATTTCAGACATCTAACTTCCAGAATTGTAAGCCACTAAGTGTGTGGTAACTTCCTAAAACAGTAACAGGCAACTGATAAAGGTGTTTTTTTTTCTGTTATCTTCTGAAATAATCTCCTATCTCTATATGTCTGGTGGAGATCAGATTGCTGACCAAATAAAAAGTAAACCACCTGACCAAACCTTCTTATGGGAAGATATGGATGTCAGAGGGCTTTAAACTACACGTGAATAAAACTACAGTTTAAGTCCTGCTTACTTTAAGATCCCCAAAAGTCCTTTTGCTTATTTTTCTGATGGGCCACAAAACACGGTAAAATATATGTTGAATGTGTCATTCAGATTATTTATAATATGGCATGCCAAATTCAAGGTTTTCTGAAAGTTGCCCATGAATACTTGTAATTGGTGTTTAATGATTGCATGTCCAGGATGTGAGCTTGTGACTGTATGACTGCAGACTTCTCCACAGAGTGTATTGTTTTAAAGGGAATGTAGTGTGGAAAATATGTTGTGATTTTTAGAAATTACAATCAGTCCTGGTAGGCATGGATTTGTTTTCATTATACAATATATACATTCATTCTTGGCTTATAGTCATGATTATTCTGACACAATATTCTTAACCAGTTTAATTATAATGAGTGAGAAACAGGAAAATAAAAAGTAGCCAGAAGAAAATGCATAAATTCTATGTCAAGTTTTCATTAATATTCGATACAACTGAGTCATAATGGCTTGCATCCAGGTAAATTAGCTGAGCCTAATGGTGCGCAATATATTGAGTCTTCTACCAGTGCCTTTTGAATGGAGAAGGAAACATGAGTTACAATTTCAACAGATTTGTCCTGAACTATATATGTAACTAGTGAAATACAATCTTCAAAAGGATGAGGCCTTGCGTTTGAATGAAAGCCTAAATGTCATATACATTTTACAAATTCTTTTTTAGAGTTTTAACTCGTGGGAGAACCATCCTTTTTGTAATTTGTCATCCTTCAACATTCCAAGAGTACTTGGGCACTTCAGTGTGCTCATGTAAGAGGATATTGGTTCATTTACAATCTTCTCTCATGAAATCTGAATGAGACATAAACCATCCAGTATTTCAACAAATAATTTTACTGGTCTAAGATAGCATGTGGCACCTTGACAAAAGAGTAAACTTAAACCAGGCAAGCACTTAAAAGAAGTGCTGCTTGTCCACAAGTGTCAACTGATCTCTTAGAAAGTATTTGAAGGAGTCTTTGTAATTCATAACTCTGTGAAAACCCATAAAGTAATCCAGTTAACGATACATATGCATATGTGTGCATATGTGTATATTACACATTTTTATACTTTCCTTAGCAGTCAATTTAAAGGTGCACTAATGTAAAATAGATAACAATCTGGGAAGTAATGGTATTTATTTGAAGTCTCTTTTATGAGGATCCATGTAATCCTTAGGCAGGTGTGGCTTTGTGTATCAGCAGTGGTACCAATAGCATGTGTTACCCTAGTTTCATACACACAACTATGCAAGATTGATATTATTAGAATCTCCATGTTATGAGTGTAGAAACAGCACAGAACTGGCAAAGTTAGTTGATGAGAGCTGCAAAGAGGAGTGCATGTCAGTGCCAACCTTTGGGGCTCAGGTAATGTGGTCTTGTGACCTTGAAGCCCCAACTCCTGTATGCAGAAACCCACAGAATACTCAGTGACCGCCCATATGTTTGTTGTATAGTAGAGTTTTGTTTTATTTTCTTGATTTATTTTTTATTCTCTGATTTCACTTCTCTGTGTGTCAATTGCAGTGAAGTCTGTAGCTTTCTGCTGATGTTTGAGATCCAGCATCATATAAAGGCTCCATGTATTTGAAAAATAGTGGAAGTTACATAATGCATCCCCCATTGTAGTGCATGTTCCATGAAATGTGAAATAGCTGATGTCTCTGACCCCAATCTTTTTTGTATGAACAGTAGCAGAAGTTTCTGAAGAAGAGATAAGCTTGCAGATGGGCTCCTACTTGCACCCTTTCCCCACTTTTGTCACTGTTAAAATACTCGTAAGCATATTGCCTTCTGCTTCCTTAGCAAATAGTTTTTCTTTCTAGTGCTGCCTGGAGAATTACACCAGTGGTGTATGGACAGTTAAGCCACCAGCACTGAGTAGTGGACTCTACTGGGAACACAAGCTAGACAAGCCCAGCTCAGGTCCTTCATAACTCACAGTTCGGAGACTAAGCTTGATATCTTCCCCTGCATTTCTTTCTCTTTTGTGATGCTTTATCAGTGTCCCGCCCCAATTACCTTACATTTAGTCAGCCTTTCAGGATAGAGAAAGAACTACAAGGTTAGACATACATTTTCCCAACTTCTTTTGCTCCTGAAATTAATCATGTAAGCAACTTTTGGTCAAAGGGACATATGGCGAGGTTGGCTGAAGTATTTATGGGGAAAATTCATCTGTACAAGTTTGACAGTTTGGGGGGCAAAATGAACTCATTTTTCTTTTTCTCATTGTTCTTCCTTTCTGTCCTGCTTTCATTTATTATTTTTATTTTTTGTCCTGCTTTTAAATATTGCTCTGAGACTTGCCATTTGAATTGTTTTGGTGCTTTTATCACCAAGGAAAGATGATGGTGAACTGAGGAACTAGGAGTGAACATAGTGCCTCAGTCTTTCAGGCTTATCAGCCAGTGAACTCTGTAACTACCTAATTACACACCTTTCGCTATCTCCAAGAAAAGAGCAGTCTATTTGAATTTCATAGTCTGTCTTTTGAATCAAAAAATTTGATACAGGGACACAAAGCACAGACATCAGAAGTAATTTGAAAAGAATGCAAAGTAATGTACCCTCAAGTGGCAAAATAGTTATGGTAATAAATGCTGAGGATAAATGCTGTAGATAGGAAAAGAAGTGATGGCAAATATGGTGGTACATGGTGGTGCACATTTGTAATCCCAGCGCTTTTGGAGCCTAAAGCAGATGGATAAGGAATTTGAAGGCTAGCCTGGGCCGTTTAGTGACTTAGTGAGACTCTGTCTCAAAAAACAAACAATCAAAAAAGAGATGTCATTCATGACTCCAGGTAGTATCCTGTGTTTAATCCCCAATAAAAGAAATTGGGCGGGGGGAACGAGAAAAAAAAATGCATGGATTATGGTAGATATAGACTTCATGTGACTAGGGCCTCTAAGTCCTCATGACCTTCCATTGGAAGTGTTTGTTCTTTTAGAACATGTTTGAAAAAAAAAATCCATGTCGTCTTCTGGTTTGCCTTGATGTGTGCATTCACTAAAATATTTTTAGACAAAAAGGATGTACACCTTAAATGATAATTGTTCTTTATGAATGACCTATGTGGTGCTGATACTCTTGAACATTGAAAAAGTCTTAAACCATCAATTACATCAATATTTGAATGATATGAAAGTCTCTGTTACCAAATTAAATGTATGAATTTCCTAAAATGATTTCCCACATAACACTTTAAACAAAAGTAATTTTTAAAAATACCATATTGTCATATTAAAGTTACAATCAAAATTACAGAACAAGAGTGGCTATTTGATATTTCCTCATTGTTTTCTTATGTTTAAAAAAAAGCAGGGCCAGGGATTTAGCTCAGTGGTTCAGCTGCCTGCTTCTCAAGTGCAAGGCCCGGAGTTTGACAACTGGTGCCAAAAAAAAAAGCAGCTATCATTATCATGTCTTCCCAACTGGGAATGTGAGGCCCATTTCTTATTTTTCCTTCAACACTCTAAAATATTTATCAAAATACTAAATTATTCTTTTAATTCATAGCTAGTGTTTTTCACATACTAGAAGTTCCGCATAATTAGAATA